ACCCCTTGGGGCTGCTGTCGACTAATACCAAACTATGGGAAACTCTCCAGGACAAACAACCTGGTTTCTTCAACAGATGAGTTAGGACAGAAGGAAGGGATGGAGGAAGGAAGGAAAGAAGGAAGGGAGGAGGGGAGAAAGGAAGGAAGGAAGAAAGGGAAGGTCCTTCCCCCTACCTCCTCTCATGCTTTCTTTCTCTCTCTCAAGTAAATAAATAAATAATATTTATTATATTATTTATATATGTTTATATAAAATACTATTTATTTATTCATGTGAGACAGAGAAAGAGAGAGGCAGAGGCAGAGGGAGAAGCAGGCTCCCCATTGAGCAAGGAGCCCCATGTGGGGCTTGATCACAGGACCCTAGGATCACAACTGGAGCAGAAGGCAGGTGCTTAACCGACTGAGTCACCCAGTTGCCCCATAAATAAACTCTTTAATAAAACAAAAATGTAAATACCTGAGATTCATTAACTAGATGCCACAAGAGGGCCTTGTTTGAATTCTGGATCAAACAAGTCAAATGTTAAGAAAGAAAACAGAGACAGATGGGGAAATTTTTAACACTGATTGATACTTTTGATAAGCCTGATCATGGTATTGTGGTTAAGTTTAAAAAAAAGTGTCACTTTCTTCTAAAATAAAAAGTGGAAGAAAATGATGTGATAGCCTCTGGTTTTCTTAAAAAAAAAAATCGGTGAGTAGTAATTGGTTCAGACAAGAATAGATACTAAATGACTGAAAATATAGCAAGTAACAGGATATTTACAGAGTCTCAGAGTACCTCCCCACAAGATACTTAATAATTATGAAGGAGGAAATGGTAAGTTTCAAGTGGGGAAATTTGGCAAAGGCAACCAAGTGATCAAAGTTAACATTGCCGGTGATGGGACTAACTGAGAAAAACACCTTACTTCTGTGGTATTTCTGCCAAAAATGCATAACCTGAATCTAATCATGAGGAAACATGAGACAAACCCAACGTGAAGGACATTCTGCCAAATTACTGACCTATATTTTTCAAAAATGTCAAGGTCACAAAAGACAAAGAAAGGGTCAGAAACTGTTCCGATTGAAGGAAACTAAAAGGACAACTGCCTGCCAAGAGTGATCTGGGATTTTCTTCTGCTCTAAAGGTCAGCACTAGGACAATTGGTGAAATCTGATGAAAGTTTATAGATTCCTGATTTTGATCATTTTACTAAGGTTATATTATATAAGAGAGTGTCTTGTTCTTAGGAAACACAGTGAAGTATTTAGGTAGGTAGATGGATGGTGGATGGATGTATGAGTGGATAGAGAGGGGGATGGAGAGGGAGGGAGGGGGTGGGAGAAAGAGGGAAGAGGGAGGGAGGAGGAGAGGAAAGGAGGGGAAAGGAGAGGGAGGGGAGAGAAAGGAAGAGGATAGGAGCCTGGACCGCTGGTAACTGGGCATCTGTCCTTACCCAGGACCAATTTCCTTCAAAACCCTTTTTTTTTTTTTAAGATTTTATTTATTTATTTGACAGACAGAGATCTCAAGTAGGCAGAGAGGCAGGCAGAGAGAGAGGGCAAAGCAGGCCCCCTGCCGAGCAGTGAGCCCCATGCTGGGGCCGGATCCCAGGACCCTGGGATCACGACCTGAGCCGAAGGCAGAGGCCTCAACCCACTGAGCCACCCAGGTGCCCCCCAAAACCCTTTTATATGAGAGAAATCAATTTCTCTCTCTCTTTTTTTTAAAGATTTTTCTTTTTCTTTTTTTTTTTTAAATTTTATTTATTTGACAGAGAGAGAGATCACAAGTAGGCAGACAGGCAGGCAGAGAGAGGAGAAAGCAGGCTCCCCGCAGAGCAGAGAGCCCGATGTGGGGCTCGATCCCAGGACCCTGAGATCATGACCTGGGTCGAAGGCAGAGGCTTAACCCACTGAGCCACCCAGGCGCCCCACAATTTCTGTCTCTTAATTTAAGTTACTAATATTTGTTTTCTGTCATCTGCAACTGAACCTAATCTTGATGTCATAATTAAAAGAAATATTCCAAAAACCATGAAATAATAAGTGGAGGGGCACCTGGGTGGCTCAGTGGGTTAAGCCTCTGCCTTCAGCTCAGGTCATGATCTCAGGGTTCTGGGGTCGAGTCCCACCTCAGGCCCTCAGCAAGGAGCCTGCTCCCCCCGCCCCCTGCCTGCCTCTCTGCCCACTTGCGATCTCTGTCTGTCAAATAAATAAATAGAATCTTTTTTTAAAAACTACTATTTAGATTCTTTTTTAAAAAGATTTTAGTTATTTATTTGATAGAGATCACAAGTAGGCAGAGAGGCAAGCAGAGAGAGAGAGGAGGAAGCAGTCTCCCCGCTGAGCAGAGAGCCCGATGTGGGGCTCGATCCCAGGACCCTGGGATCATGACCTGAGCTGAAGGCAGAGGCTTTAACCCACTGAGCCACCCAGGCGCCCCAATAAATAGAATCTTTAAAAAATAATAATAATAAGTGGAAGCTACAATGTCATTCAAAATAATAATAAAGGTGGTAAGACTTATGAATTTTTTTTTGAAATGATGGCATAATGCCGAGAGGGTTCAGCTGCTCAAAGGCTGTGGAAACCAGATCTGCAATCTAGAATTGTGCTGTTAGTACTCTAGCCAATGGCCACTTGTGGCTCTTCACTTTTAAATTAATTAAGATTAAAATTCAGCTCCTGCATCGCACTAGCCACATTTCACATGCTAGACCCTTAAAGACCAGCATTTTACCAGGTTATTGTAGGTGATTCTGATGCTCCCTAACGGCCAAAGCCTCCGTAGGGAAAATCATTTTGCATCCCTGTGGGTTGGTCTGCTCTCTTCTAGGCTCCAAGATTTGAGAGATGTCAGCAAATTAGATCTTCAGGCCAGAATACTGAGAAGTATCAGATGTGACTGCAGTTTTCAGCCAAGGACCACCGGAGTTCAAATCCCTGCCGCTCCACTCATGTGCATGACTTTGGTCAGATTCCTTGACCTCTCTGGTGCTTCCATTTTTTTGTTTGTTTGTTTGTTTGTTTGTTTGTTTTAACCTGTCAGAGTGCCAATAATAGAGTCTACAGAGTACCCCAAACCATTGCTTTCTCTATTTTATTTTCTTCATAGGAAATAAACATCTCACTGAAAAGACCAGTGTGTGCTTTTGTTTTAATTCATTTGACAAACATTTATTGAGCACCTGCTGTTTCCTCACCACTGTTCTGAGCACCATGGCCAAGCAGTGAGCAGGACGGACACAAACCCCGCTGTCACAGAAGTGGCATTCCAAAGGGGGAGGTAGAAATAATCAGGATGAGGGCGCCTGGGTGGCTCAGTGGGTTGGGCCTCTGCCTTTGGCTCGGGTTGTGATCCCAGGGTCCTGGGATCGAGTCCCGCATCAGGCTCTCTGCTTATCTCCCCGCCGTCTGTCTCTCGGCCTACTTGTGATCTCTCTCTCTGTCAAATAAATAAATAAAATCTTAAAAAAAAATAATCAGGATGAAAAGGAAAAATGTGTTGCATATAAGAGAGTAGCAAGGTAAGTAGCTAGGACCGGCAATGTAAGCATGGCCGGAGGCCTCACCCAGGGGGATATTTTATTGTAGGCCAGAAGGACCAGAGAGGCAGCACAAGCATATGTGGGGGAAGATCATTCCAGGCAGAAGGAACAGCAGGTGCAAAGGTTCTGTGATAGGAACATAGCAAGTACCATTCAAGATGCTACAGACAGTGATAAGACAGTTGCCGTCCTTTCTTCAAGGTGCTCGCATTTTAATGGAGGAGAGGAGATGGATAAAGTGATCTATGACATCCTCCCACGTGATGAGCTGGAGAGGGATTCGGTAGAGTAGAAGATAGGGCAGGCCTCTCTGAGGAGATGGTGTTTGAGCAGAGGCCTGGAAGGAGGCAGTAGAGAAAGCAGGTGTGTATCTGGAAGAAATCTATTAACTCTGGCCTGGCCCGTGTCTCTTCTGTTCCTTCCTCTCAGTCGGGGCTCGGGTTTCCAAGCAGAGGTTGTCTGTGAACCGATGGAGGGGATTCAATGGGGAGTGCAGACCTTGCAGCGTATGCAGCTGTCTGCCCCACTCCTTCTCTCATTGGCCACTCTAGTGTTTGCGTTGGTGTGCTGGGTGGGGCTCTAGCTTAGGGGACTGTGTTCCCCATCAAAGCTCCAAATCTATCTTCAAAGGAGCTGCTGGGCCCTGTGCCTCTGCGCAGAAGGGAGTGTTAGCCTGGAGCTGAGCTAGGAACCCACCCCCCAGCTGTGTCCCATCTGGGTTTCTCCTGGTTCTGGGTGGGGTCTGGCAGCTCACACCAACCCTATCCCTTCCACTGCAAAGAGTGGGTGGAGGATACTTTCTCTGGCCGGGTGGTGGGGCTGGCGGGATCCAGAGTCAGCCCAGGGAAATGTTGAAATCCCTTGTACCGGGTTGCAAATTGTTCCCGCCTGAGTTCATATCCAGACAGGCCCTTGCCCCAGCTAGCTGTGTGACCCCGAGCGGCTCACTTACCTTCTCTGAACCCACATCTCCACGATAGTTCATAGTAACTCCCACCTTCTGGGGATTCACATCATGGGAAGTGCTTGACGCAGTTACCCATTCCTTTGGGGAAGACTGAGCCCTGGAGGGTCATCAGGGCCCATGTCCCCTAAGACCATCTCCTAGGGAGGAACAGGTAGGTAAGATGAGGTGAAGTAGGGGACCCTCCCACACCTGCCAGGCTATCTCTGAAGGGAAACAGGGAGGTCGGGAGTCTAATTAATCACTGGGAAGGGCCAGACAGATGCCCTAAGGGAAAGGTCAGCATTCACACTGTTTTCTCAGAAGTCAATGTAATCCTGGCTTGGGTGAGGCTCGGGGTTGGGGCACAGAATAGGAAGGATGACAAAGTATGAGCGGCCTGGGCAGCAGCCACCCTTCCCATCCCGTCCACCCTCCCTATCCCACGCACCCTCCAGCCACCGGGTGTTAGTTAGGGCAATGGCCGCCTTAAGTTTCAAAAGACAACCACCCAAATGAGGAATTGAACCGTTTATTGGCCTGGGTCCGGGTCTCAGGCACGAGGGGAATCTGGGGAGCTGTATGGGGGAAGACAGGCCCCCGACTGGCTCCTTGCCCCCCAACACCCTCTTCCCCAGCCTTTGCATTCACAAGAAATTGCTTTGAGGCATGAGGTTTCCTTCCCCGAGGCGAGCTGTACCCCAGCTCTCAAGCGGGGAGATGAGCCAGCAATTACAAAGGGGTCTGTGCGGGGGCCAACCCCTCTTTGGCAGCTTCAACACAGACGTGAGACAACAACAGCATCCGTTCTGGGGGAGCATGATGGGGAGAGGAGGTCACACGCATCACACACATGCACACATAGACACACATAAATATATATTTGTACCGCAACATCCCTTCCATATAACCATGGAATTTAGCGAAGTCCTTCTGGGGCAGGCGAGAAGGGAGCACCCCACAAACGTCGTCCTTGGCCCCCCGACCCCCATGTTTCTCCATACAATGCAACTTGAAAGGAGGCACAGCAGACTCAAGGCTGCCCTGCCTCAGGAGATCTGCTTACCCTGGCTGCGCTGGAGGTGGGAGTACCTTGGGCAGGGGGGTGGTTTTTAGGAATGGGGGTCCTCTGCCAACAGCTCCCCTAGAACCTTCTCAAGTTCCACCCTTTCCCACCAGGAGGCCCAGAGCCCTCCTCAGCACCCCCCCAGACCAGTTTTTCCAGCCCTTGGTGACTCCTTTATACCCCCAAATAGTGCAATTGGCCAGTGAGGTCTGAGAATAGCATCCAGCATCTACCCCCAACCCTGTGGTTTGCCAGCATCTCGTGGAGAGACAGAGGAAAGGGAAGAAGCCGCCAAAGTGGGCAGCTGGTGAAATTTGGGGAAGCTGTGGACTGGGGCCTTGCAATTGTCAGCTGGGGCCACCCAGGACAGTCAGGGAGGAGGCCTCCAGCCCTTTGGGAACAGTGGTTGTGGGGAAGTGACTTAAGGTTGTCAGGAAAAGGTGACAGCGGGGCTGGATTCAGAGAGGGAAGTTCCATGCAGGGCAGAGGGTCAGAGAGTCGTGAAATGTTGAAATCCCTTGTATCGGGTTGTGAATTGTTCCTGCCCTGAGCTCCCCACCTGGAGTGCTTGCCTGCCGTGTCACCTGAGTGCTTGCCGGCTGTGTCACCCAGGCCCCTTCCAGGTCCCCTGGGGCCTCCCCACGATCCAGTTCTGAAGGCGGTCACATTAGTTACTGCACTAGCCTCTGACCCCGTTGGAGCTCTGCCATCTGCCGGGTGGGGGGTCTCAGCGGGCCGAGCCCAGGGTGAAATATTTTCAATGTCACCCAGGTCTGTGGTGTACGGGCATCTTGCTTCGCAGCCCCCTCTCTGTCCAGGGAGACAGCTCACAGAGCCCTGTGCCGTGGCCTGGTGGCCTACTTGCCCCTCAGACCACCGTGTTGCCCTCCAGAAACGTGGGCGACGTAGGCATGTGTGTGCCCCTCTCCAGGGAGCTGGAGCTGCGGAGAGGCAGGAGTCGATGGCCCGGGGTCCCACCCCGCCGTCCTTGAACCCCCGCTGCCCGCCGGCAGCATCGCAGCGGCCGCAGCACCTCTCGCCGCAGGTCCCGGCTGCGCCACGTGTAGATGACGGGGTTGAGCAGTGAGTTCAGAGTGGCGAAGGCAAAGAAGTAGTGGGCCTTGTAGAGGACAGGGCAGGACCGGACGGGGCAGGCGTAGTCCAGGAGCAGGATGCTAAAGGCCGGCAGCCAGCAGACAATGAAGACACCCAGCACGATGGTGACCGTCTTGAGCAGGGCCAGCGTCTGGGGGCCGGCCACGTCGGCATGGCTGGAGCGGACCACGCAATAGATGCGGACATACAGAGCGACGATGGCCAGTAAGATGACTGAGAAGATGGTGACCACACAGAGCACGTAGTGCTTGGTGTAGAGCGGCAGAACAGTGGAGCAGGCTTCGAGATGGCCCAGGCAGTTCCACCCAAGGATGGGCAGGCCGCCGAGAGCCAGCGAGATGAGCCACGAGGCCGCGATCAACAGCAGCATGCGGCAGCTCTTGTCACTGCCGTAGAGCTTGACCTTGGCAATGGCCACATGCCGCTCAATGGCAATGGCCAGGAGGCTGAAGACAGAAGCAGAGAGTGTGATGAAGGCGGAGCCCTCTCGGGCAAACCACTGCACCGGGGTCAGCCCCAGCGTGACCGGGCCCGACAGCAAGGTATTGGCAACGAAGGCCACTCCTGCCAGCAGGTCCGAGGCGGCCAGGTTGCCCAGGAACAGGTACATGGCTGAGTGGAACTTGCTGTTGCGAGCAACCGCGATGAGCACCAGCAGGTTCTCCACCACGATGGCGAAGCAGAGGATGATGATGACGGCCAAGGCCACCTGGCGGGAGGGCGTCTCCTGAGTGTCCAGAGTCTCCTTGGTGTAATTGTAGTGTTCCCGGACCTTGCTGGGGCTTAGGTACTCTGAGTACAGGCTGCCCATGGTGGGGCTCAGTGGCCCACCAGGGCCATGGGGCTGTCAGAGCTGCAGAGAGAGAAGACAGACAGACAGATGGGTCAGTGCCATGGCTGCTTCCTGGGATCTGACTTTGGGTGGCTGTGGTTTGAGTCCCAGCTCCCTCCCTTCTCACTGAGCGGCCACACGAAGTCAGAAGCATCATCTTCCCTGCTTTACCAACCAGAAACCCAGAGAGGTTAACTCACTTGCTCTGAGTCTCAAAGCCGGTAAGTGGTAGAGCCAGAAAACCTCCCCAAAGCCTCTATAACCTCAAGGTTGAGGTCTCAGAAGAGCAGAAGCTCCCCCAAAGAGCATGAGGGACACAAAATAAACTTCCAGAACTCTTGCTCACCTCCCCAGACAGCGAGCCTTGGGCAGGGCCTGGAGGGCTCGTCTCCCTTTTGGAATACACTGGAGCCCGGGGCCTCATGCCGCCTGCCAACCTGGGTCAGCAAGATGCTGGCTGCTGATAGCACCATCCCCTGCTCATTACCACCCACTGCCCTGGATTTCAGGCTGGGTCTAAGCCTTGCAGCCATGGGTGCTCCCGAGATAAGGTCTTGGGGAGACACCAGGGCGGCCCTGAGGTTTAAGCATCTAAGAGGTCATGGCATCTTCAAGGACGAAGACCTTGGAGGCAATCCAGGGTTCAACCCCGCTCCACCTGACATGCTGTGAGACCTTGGGCAAGTCACTCAACACTCACCGCAATGTCCTCATCTGTGCAATGTGGAGAAGAAAGCCCACTTTATAGGGGAAATGGGAAAATTATCTTGAATGGCACAAGAGGCACCCTTAGCACATAGCAAACACTCAATAAATACTAGCTGATATATTAGCCCCCCCTCTTCCTGCCACACACACAGCTGGGGACTAGGTGCCCTCCAGCCAATCTTTGGGGAGGGAATGTAGACTGAGTTAGCCAGGCAAGATTCCCAACATCCTGTTCTCATCAGCACCATCTAGCCCTGCCCTGGGACAGAGGGTCCCAGAGGAGTGGGCAGGGCGCTGGCACCCCCCTCCCCAGCCAGGATGAAATCCAGATGTGAGGCCCCAGGAAGAAGCAGGGTGGAGTCCTCACTTCCCAGTCACATCCGGTGTGGGAAAGGCTGGGAGGGGGTGATGGGATGGGGGAGCCACAGGAGACCAGTCTGGGAGGTCCTGGCTGGGAGGATGGGGCAGCTGCTGCAGCGCTGAAGCTGAAGTCATGTGAGCCGAAAGAGGGGGCGAGAGGCACCCGGAGAGGGGGTTGAGAGGAGAGGGGGGACGGGCATTTGTTTCCATGAAAGCCTGAGTCACCCCCCCGTCAAGGAAAACTGAGCTGTGGGGGGAGGGGGCGGGAAGAAGCGTGGGCAGAGAGGCTGAGAGGCCAAGATCATGGCCTCCTCCCAGCTTGGTGGTGGCGGTGGGGGGGTAGTCTCAGAGGGGCTGGTGCAGTGTCTGCCTTTGGCGGAGGGGAGCCAGGAGGAAGCTCCAGCCTTTAGCTAATTGGGGAGGGAGCGGGAAGAGCCCTCCCTAGGTGCCTGGAAACAGGCCTGGCAAGGAACACGTGCGCTCCGGGAGTACGGTTCCAGAAAAGGCTGGTTAGGCTGGTTCCTAGTGAGCCTGAGAATTATGGGGGGCTTCCGGGGTTACCCAAGCCATGTCAGTCCCTGGACGCCCCCTCAGAGGAGGCCCTGGCCGGGGGCCTGACAGAGGCAGCTGCTCCCCCTGGGTGAAGGAGCATCCGTCCTAGTTTGGAAACAGAGAAAGGCTTGTGCGCATCCCCGGAGACTGCCGCCCCGCCCAGATCGCCAAACAGAGGCCCCTTGTTCCGCTGCCGGATCGGGCCCTGGGCGCCCCGATGCCCTCTGGCCGTTGCAGGCTGCAGCCGGCCGGGAGCTAGCCTGGCCCTGGCCTCCGCCCCACTAGATCGGCCTTCGGGGCAGAAACAGCCCGAGCCCTGATTGGCTGATTTTCAATCCCAGGGCCTTGAGCGATTCGCCCATTGGCCTGAGCTTTCCGTCCTCGGCATTTGATTGGCCCAGTCGGGGGCTCTCTAAGGAAGGCGCTCGTGATGGGTCCTTTACAGGCCGACCACATCTTTCAGAGAACAGAGTTAGGGCTGTGTGGATGTCCCTAGGGACAGTGTGAACCGCAGCCTGACCGCCAGGTCACGCCGACCAGACGCCCCCCAGGCTGCCCTGGCCTCCTGGGCCCCTCCTGGGTTTCATGACTGAGAATCAAGGACCCGTTGCAGGCCTGGGAAGCACCCGTGCTGGTGGTCGAAAAGCCTAGGTCACCCCCTTCACCCCTCCCTCACTCGGGGCCACCAACCTTCTGGTCTGGCAGCCAAGAGGAAGATTTATGGAGGCTTCCTGGAGAAATAAGAATTGGGTTCAGTCCTCACTCCCCAGAGGCCCACCGAAAGTCTGTCTTCTTCCCTGGGGTGGGGGTGGGGTGGGGTGGGTGGGGGGAGACCAGGAGCTGCACACTCACTTTCTGCAGCCCTTGGAGGCTGTCAGGGCTTCCTCAGAAGGAGGGGTGGCTCGCCTAGTTAGAGAAGGGGAAACCGAGGCCCACACTGCTTCCCTCTTCTCATCTTCCCCACTAGGACTCTGCTGAAGACAGAGCTTAAGGCAGGCTCATGCTTCCCAGAAAGAGGAAGCGGGGCCTGGAGATTGGGGCTGGCAGAAGAGGCACCCCCACCCCACCCAGGCACATAGAGGCCTTGGCTGCTTCCCTCCCTGTGTCAGGCTCCCAGACCTGGCTAAACGCAGGGCCTGTCTCCCGCTCACCTTCACCAAGGCCGTCCTAACTTCTTCCCAGAGGCTCAGTAAGAGGTCACTGGGCTCAGAGCCAGGGAATGGCCAGGCCTGAAATGGAATGAGAGGGACAAGTGACAGGGTTTGGAGGGAAGGGAAGATAGACCAAGACTGTTCTGTGGGAGATTAGAAGAGAGGAAGGACAGAGAAAGCCTCAGCGGCTTCCAGGAGCCCCTCCTCCAAGTTCCACTGAGGCAGGCCCTGTGCTAACAGTCCCACTGTCACTCACTGATCCCTGCCATTGGCCCTAGGGCAGTGCCCCCACCCCTACTTTTGGTTTCCCTTAAGCGGTCAGGCGCGCCCTACACTGCGGTTCTCCATGCAGCAACCAGGGGGAGCTGTTTAATTCACAAAGCCAATACACTGTGTCACTCCCTCACCTCCTAATTCTTCCATGGCTCCCCACTGCCCAAAATGGCCTGGCCCTTGCCCATCTAGCCTCCTGCCACGCTTCCCCAGGGCCTCTCCACTCCAACCACGCTGGCCTCCTAGGTGCCACCCCCATCCCTACCTCAGAGACTTTGCTCTCCCTCCACCTGGCATGCCCTTCCCTCAAATTCTGGAATGACTGTCTTCCCCTCTTTCTGGTTTCGGTTTTAAGGTCACCAGCTCAGAGGGGTCTCCTCGGTCTGCCATAGCCACCTTCCCCGGGGCCTATGACAGCATCTTGCTTCATTATCTTCACACAACTTGCCATGCTCAGAGATCATTATTGTATTTTATTGTGTTCTGTCTGGCTTCCGTGGTAGAATATGAGTGTTGGAGGCCAGCGACCAAGTCTGTTTTCAGCCCCTTTGGCGTGATGCCTGGCACACAGAAGGCGCTCTGAAAACGTGTGATGGATGGATGGATGGGTGGATGGATGGACGGACGGACGAGTGAACAAAGCCCCGAGGGTTCCCGAGGTAGAGGCACCTCAATTCAGCCTAGCCCCCAAACCACAACAGAGGCTGGAGACGCCTCGGGGCGCCGGCAGCCCCCTGACCGAGCGAAGCCCAGCGCGTCTCCGTGGAGACAGCGGCAGGACCCGCCCCCGCCCTCTGGCTGCAGTCTAGGCCTCCTTATCTGGCGGTGGAATGCGCGGTATCCCACACGCGCTCCCGCTGGGGCCTCTCTCGCGACAGCCACACGCGAGGAACCCGTACATCTCCCGTGGCTGCGTGGGGGGAGGGCACCTCTGCGTCCCGCCAGGAGCTTCGCCCCAATATTCCCGGAGGGCTTAGAGGCGGGAGTTGGGGGGGGGGTTGTGATCCCAGTTGCAGCCTCTTGGTAAATACCAAACCACCATCGCGCCACGCGGGGGTCCGTGGGCTCAGCGCGTGGCTCCCGGAGCATCTGACTGGCGCAGAGTCGGGGGAGGGCATGGAAATCCCCGGGTGAGTCAACTCGTGCCGGAGGAGGGGGCGAGGTTCCGACGCTCAACTGGGTCCCCGAACACACGAGGTCCGCGCCACGGGTGACTGCACCCCCGCACCGTCCCTGGGCCCCAGGTGAAAGGAGAGGCGCGGGAGTCACGCACTCACGTTCCCTTTCCTTCCAGAACAAAGCCACACCCCCGAGGGGGTGACTGAAGAAGACGAACTACTCGGGGAAACTGAGGCACAGAGACAGACCTGCAGGCTGTGGAGCAGACGGCCCTCCCCGGGGACCCCGCCCCTTGACTTAGAAGCTCCGCGGCTCGCTGCACCTTTCGCTCTGGCCCAGCCGGAGTCGGCCTGCGGGAGGGCCCCTCCCCTTCACACACACTCCCCAAACCCTCCGGTCCTGAACCACACCGCTCTGCCTCCCAGACTCTGGCCGAAAGAGCACGGATCCGCCTTCTCTTCGGCGCCAACTTCCTGCCGCCGGGGAAGGCGGGGAGCTCAGTCTGGGGGTTCTGCCGAGGCTGTAGGGGCCGCCCGGAGTCGTGGAGAGGGCGCACAGTGACCACTCCCTCCGTGCAGCAGAAGCACGGGCGGCGCGTGCGCGCCCCGGTGCGCCCCCGACCCCTGGCCTGGCTACCCAGCTCCGATCCTGCGACTCAGGGATCCTGGGCTCTTCCTTTCTGCCTCCCACTCGTCCCGCACACTCACCTGGCTGGGCCGGCCCGGGTCCCTGCCCTAGCCGGAGGGGCTCGCTCTGGCGTCTGCGTCCCCGGGACGGCATCGGCAGGGGCTGGGGCTGCCCGCCGTACTGGGACTGCGTCCCGGGGCTCCCGACCGGGGACAGAGGGGGGCGGGGAGAGACACCGCCTAGCCCCCCCACTCGCCCCGCCCTCCTCCCCTCCCCTTTCCGGCGGCGGCGGCAATGAATTCCAGATGTGGCGGGTCTGACCCGCCGCGCGCGCGCTGGGGACGGCGGGGGAGGCGCGCGGGGTCCCTTTGTCCGCACCTCCCCCCACCCCGCGCCCTGCTCCTCCCAGGACCCAGTCGTGAGAACCTGCGGGATCGTGACGTCACGCGGTTCCGTGAAACCACTGTCTTCACCCTGAAACAACTGTCTTCAATTGTAGATGTACTATTGGGTCATCCCTGGGACCCCGGAGTTGGAGAACCTGGAACCCCATTTATATACTCAACAAGGAGACACCAAAGCCCCTATGTGTCAACGCAGCAAAAAGGCACGAAGCGCCTGCTCTGAGTTCCTCCAGCAAATCAAGTCCCCACTATGTGTCACGCCTTGGCCCAAAGACAGGAGTAGCTCTTGCCTCGATAAGACCTCAAAATTCAGAAAGACCCCTAGAAAAGTGGGAGCATCCAACAGTCTCCCTTGCCTCTGCTGATGATCTCAGAGCCGCCCTTGCTGGAGTCAACCAAACAAGAAGGCCCAGGCTCAGCCCACCTTCCAGCTTGGGGCCCAATCTTCCATACGGTTCTTCGGTTTCCCTCTCTTTTCCTCATTCAGCTTTTCCCGGGCGACTGTGTGCCTAGCTGCTGAGAGGGAAGGACACCCTCACTCACATTCATGCACACACACATGTGTGTAAGAGATCAGCAGCTAGGCAGCATAATAGGAGAGCCCTTGGTTCCTCCAACAAACATTTTTGGTACACCTCCTGGGCAACAGCAGTGAACAAAACCAGAAAAAAGGGCCTCACCCTTTTGCAGCTTATGTTCAGGTACAAGAGACAGCCTTTTAGGGGTGCCTGGGTGGCTCAGTTGGTTAAGCGACTGCCTTCTGCTCAGGTCATGATCCCGGAGTCCTGGGATGGAGCCCTGCACCAGGATCCCAGCTCCACGGGGAGTCTGCTTCTCCCTCTGACCTTCTCCCCTTTCATGCTCTCACTCTCTCTCTCTCTCTCAAATAAATAAATAAAATCTTTAAAAAAAAAAAAAGAGCCTTTTAGGAGGACACTATTTGTGAAAATGCATACATAACCTTCATATACGCTATTTACCAGATACATTAAGCACCTGCTGTGTACCAGATAGTATCCTAAAAGGCTGGAGATATATCAAGATCAAATCAGACAAAACTCTGGGTCCCTATGGAGCTGATGTTCCACCACATGTCCTCAGAATATGCAGAATATTGGAGGAAGAAGAAACCAGTGAATTCCCTGGGAGTGGAAGGGGAAGATAGGGACAGGGCATGGAAGGGAGGCTGCTTTCATTCTATGAACGCTCTCCTAACTTTTGATTTTTGTAACATGTGCACGTGATCCTATTCCAGTAATAAGTTAAATTAAAAGTGGACTGCTAGGGGCGCCTGGGTGGCTCAGTGGATTAAGCCACTGCCTTCGGCTTAGGTCATGATCTCAGGGTCCTGAGATCGAGCCCCGCATCGGGCTCTGTGCTCCGCAGGGAGCCTGCTTCCTCCTCTCTCTCTGCCTGACTCTCTGCCTACTTGTGATCTCTCTTTCTCTGTCAAATAAATAAATAAATAAATAAATCTTAAAAAATAAAGTGGACTGCTAGACACCTAGATGGTGCAATGACAAGGAGAGTTTCGGTGCACTTTTCTGTATGTGTATCATACTTCAGTCAAGAACGTTGAAATATACAAGGATGAAAAGGGTTATCTGCACTCCCATGTTCATCGCAGCATTATACACAATAGCCAAGATATGAAAATAACCTTAGCATTCGTCAGTGAAGGAATGGATAAAGAAAATGTGGTATAGGGGCACCTGGGTGGCTTAGTCAGTTAAGCATCTGCCTTTGGCTCAAGTCACAATCCCAGGCTCTTGGGATCGAGTCCCGGGATGGGATCCCTGCTCCTCAGGCAGTCTGCTTCTTCCTCCCCTTCTGCACCTGCCCCCCGCAGCTTGTGCTCTCTCTCTATCTCTCTCAAATGAATAAGTAAAATCTTTTAAAAATTATTTAAAAAGAAAATACGATGTGCACATGCGTTGGAATATTATTCAGCCATGAGAAGGAAGAAAATCCTGACATTTTCAACAGCATGGATGAACCTGTAGAGATTATACAAAGTGAAATAAGCCAAGCAGGGAAAGACAAATACTGTTTGGTTATCACTTATATGTGGAATCTAAACAAGACAAAACAAGGTCAAACTCAGAGAAACAGAGAGGAGGAAAGTGGTGATTGCCAGCTGCTGCGGTGAGGAGGGCAAAGGGAGAGCTGGGTAAAAGGGTACAAACTTGCAGCCGTGAGATGAATAATGTCTGAGTCTGTAATGTAAAATGGGGTAGCTGTCCTAGCTGACACCATATTGTATAATTGAAATTTGCCAAGAGAGTGGGACTTAAATGGTCTGATACACACACAACATAAATATGGGAGATGACAAATGTGTTCGTCAACTAGCTGTACTCTTCCACAGCGTCTACATGTATCAAATCAACATGATGTACACTTTAAATATCTCACAGTTTCATATGTCAACAATGCCTCAAGAGAGCTGAAATTTAAAAAAAAATTAAGGTGGCTTGATACCTAGACAATGCAACCAGTAGAAAGAGAGGTTGGGTGCAGTCTTCTGTATGTATATACTTCATAAAGTGTTGAAAAGCAGGGCGCCTGGGTGGCTCAGTTGTTACGCGTCTGCCTTCAGCTCAGGTTATGATCCCAGGGTCCTGGGATCGAGCCCCGCATCGGGCTGCCTGCTCAGCAGGAAGCCTACTTCTCCCTCTCCCACTCCCCCTGCTTGTGTTCCCTCTCTTGATATGTCTTTCTCTGTCAAATAAATAAGACCTTAAAAAAAAAGTGTTGAAAAGCAAAAAGATACAAAAAGAAATTAAAATCGATCCATTTAGGCCTATTAAAAAGTGAAAATGGATTCGTCTTGGCGTGAAACTCTCTTCAACGTGTTAAGTTGAAAATAAGCACAATGCACATTGGTTTGCATTGCTTGCCCGCGTTTCTGAGTGTATTTATAAGGATTGTATAAATACACACACATTTGCCTGTCTGCTCACCAGCCACCTCTGGGAAAAGGCACAAGACACCAGTCACGGTGGTTACCCTTTGGCGGAGGAACTGGGGGCAGGGGAACAGGTGAGAGGAGGCCAGATCTTTATGGTGTACCCTGGGGGAACTGTTGGAAATTTTCAGCTCACATTATCAATTTTAAAAATTGACAAAGACATGAAAAATCAAATAATAGGTCAAAATCACCAGACTTCTAGTCATAAAATCATTCTTATCATAAAAATAATGACTATTATCAATAATATAAACAATAACATGCTTAATAAACATACGATGATAGTATGTAACATATTGCTATTAAATAAATTTATATTAATAATTAACATATTTTTAAAAGAACGATATTTAAAAAGAAGAAACATGTCTAAAAAGAATAAATTTATATTAATAATAAACACACTCTTTTTTTTAAGATTTATTTATTTATTTATTTGACAGACAGAGAACACAAGTAGGCAGAGAGGCAGGCAGAGAGAGAGAGGGGGAAGCAGGCTTTCTGCTGAGCAGAGAGCCCGATGTGGGGCTCAATCCCAGGACCCTGGGATCATGACCTGAGTCAAAGACAGAGGCTTTAACCCACTGAGCCACCCAGGCGCCCCAATAAACACACTCTTAAAAAAGAATAAACTTTTAAAATATTTTTTATTTATTTATTTGACAGAGAGAGAGAGCACAAGTAGGCAGAGCGGCAGGCAGAGGGAGAGGGAGAAGCAGGATCTCCACTGAGCAGAGAGCCGGATGCGGGGCTCAATCCCAGGACCCCAGGATCTTGACCTGAGCCAAAGGCAGCCGCTTAACCAATGGAGCCACCCAGGTGCCCCAAAAGAATAAACATTTAAACAAAAAAGAATAAAAAGAAACAATGAGCGCCTGGGTGGCTCCGTGGGTTAAGCATCTGCCTTCGGCTTGGGTCATGATCCCAGGGTTCTGGGGTCGAGCCCCGCATCAAGCTCCCTGCTCAGGGGGAGCCTGCTTCTCCCTCTCCCTCTGCCTGCTGCTCCCCCTGCTTGTACTCTCTCTGTGTCAAATAAATAAATAAAATTAAAAAAAGAAAAAAGAGAGAGAGAAAGAAAGAAAGAAAGAAAGGAAGGAAGGTTGGTTGAAAATCAATGTATTGGCAGACCTGGCTGGCTCAGTGGGTAAGAGCATACAACTCTTGATCTCAGGGTCATGAGTTCAAGCCCCACGTTGGGCACTGGGCACAGAGCTTAGCTAAGAAAGAAAGAAAGAAAGAAAGAAAGAAAGAAGGAAAGAAAGAAAGAAAGAAGGAAAAAATATTATTGCCACATGTATGTACACAGCCTATATATTCATATAGTACTTGATGCTGCCTCTGGTTATGCCTCACTGGTTTCTGCCATCCAAAACTGACAGTCCGATGGAGGAGACAGAGAAGAAACGAGATCGTTCTAACACAGGTAGTAGGACCTTGATGGGGAGATAAAGAAAAATCAGACAATGACTTTGTTCCTTTTCCTGAGCCAGATTTCCACTCAGTTCCAATCAGACCTCAGCAAAAACTCTTGGGGTCCAATCAGACCTCAACAAAAACTCACTGAAACGTCTGCCAAGTGAGTGTGTTGCCTGGACAACCTCTAGAAACCAGGTGTTCAACCCACGGGGTACAAAGCACAAAGCAAACTGGGTCCTCCCCTCACCAGGGAGCTATCGGAGCGGAAATCTCAGCTCTCTGTGGGGACCCAAAGGCTGGGGAGGAAGTGCCCCCCCTCACTCAGCCCCGGCTGGCTCAGCAGTTTGCCACCCCCCCAAGGGACCTGGGGGTGGGGTGATATCAAGGCCACAGACATATCCGGGCTGTCTGTCAGGGGACTATGGCTCCTAGACAAAGGTGATG